AGACTCCTGCGAGTCCCTTGGACTGCAAGGAGATCAAACTGGTCAGTCCTAGAGGAGATCAACCCTGACTGCTCTTTAAAAGTCCAGATACTGAAGATGAAACTCAAATACTTTGGCCACCTAATGTGAAGGAAGGACTCCCTGGAGAAGAGCCTAATGCTGGGAACAATAGATGGCAAAAGAAGAAGGGGACGGCAGAGGATGAGGTGGCTAGATGGAGTCACTGAAGCAGTTGGTGTGAGCTTATGTGGACTCCGGGGATGGTGGAGGACAGGAAGGCCTGGAGGAATGTTGTCCATGGGGTCACGATGGGTCGGACATGACTTTGCGACTAACAACAACATATCACTCTATATATATCCATTCAAAAGTGCATCAGTAAATATTAAAGAGTGTTCCAGTAAAATGTTTATTTGTATTATAACCTCCTCCTTAAAAGCAGGATCTGATGGACATCGCCAGAACATTTGATTAAAAGGAGCATTAGCAATATTACACCTCCACCAGTCATTTAGCAGTTGGGGGCACCATGGATTTTTTTACGAAACAAACAACCCACCATAGACTATTCCGCGGGTGTAGGGTGTCATGACATGCCAATGCTTCCAGAGTCTGAAAAGATCCATAATTTAGAAATGTTGCTAAGTATCCAAATAATATCAGGATTTCAGCATTATCCTCCCTGTTGATCAAGAAGAGAATCTCTTTGCTGTGCCAAGGCCTTTGATGCCCATGCCAAAACTTTTATTGAAGATAGGCAGGGGGATTATGATTTCATAAATACGGGATGGCAAACTGGCAGCTCAAGTACAGCATCTTGTGTACGTGATAATTTTGTCCAGTACCGACCGGCCTACTTGCATTTCTATCCTTCTGCCCCATTCTAGGGACTCCTACAGATTTTTGTCTTGGTCAATTTAAGTTGTTGTTGCTGTTGTTTTGCATTTTTTATTTCTTTCCTCACAATGCTTTTTAAATTTACTTTTATTTGAAACATCCAAAGCTAATGTGGAGATGAACTGAATGCTTTTGGGAATTCATTCATTTGTATCTGCTGTTTCTAACTTCCTGCCTTCCTACCAAAAATGGTACTCAAGGCAGCTAACATATTTGATAGCACTTCATAAAGCTCTCAAGCTTATTGTTCACTGGTACATTTCTAAACATTTAAAGCTTCATATAGACTATATAAAAGCATAGATTCTGCTCCTTCATCCAGTGCCGGCTCACTAGTTGCTTGCCCACAAGCATGCTACCAGTGTCAATGTAGCAGAAAGACCCGAGGCTTACCTGTGCCTTCTTGTGGTACCATGAAGAGGAGGTCCAGAGCAATCCTGGATTTATTTGTTCCATCCCATTTCCTGCAAATATGGAGCAGAGCTCTATAGACTTAATGAAGGCTTATTCACATTCACATGAAATGAATTAAACTCACACTCGTACGCAAGTATATTTGAGGAAAGATTCAGAGAACAAGGCATACTCAGCCTCAAGAAGAGCAGACTGAGGAGTGTTATGATCGCACTTTACAAGTACCTGAGAGGCTGCCACAAAGAGGAAGGACAAGATCTTCTCTTGTCCGTTCCAGAGTGCAGGACATGGAATAACGGACTTAAGTTAAAAGCAAGCAGATTTAGACTGACACCAGGAAGAATTTCCTCACTGTCAGATCAGTAAGAGAATGGAACCTGTTACTTGGGGAAGTTGTGGTCTCTCCCTTGCTGGAGACTTCAGATGCCTTTGAAGCGTCTAGACAGCCACCTGAGTGGGACGGGGCAACGAGGTGTCCCGCAGCAGCAGGGCGTTGGACCTGGTGACCTTCATGGTCCCTTCCGACTCGACTGTTCTATGATTCTATGGCAGCAGCACAAGGAGCTTACAGAACAAACCTATACATGTCTACTCAGAAGTAAAACCCATTGAATTACTCCAGGTAAATGGATTGTAGATCAAATATCTTATCTGTCCCTGATTTATTATAATATTTTAAGAAACACACGGGAGCAAACAGAGAAGCCCATACATTTTGTATGCTTTTTAGTGGTTAAAACCACATCATCTGGTTTTGAAATTCGTACAAAATGGCAAAAAAGAGGAGGATTTAGAAAAGAATGACTTGTATTGGTATGAATCAGATATCCTCTTACTAATCAACCAGTAAAGCCACTTAAACTCCCACACCCTGATTATCAGAATATGCAAGGGTTTTGTTCTTTCCCATTTACAAGGGGAGAATGTCCCTCAGTTCCCCTCTCCACCATATGGTGGGAAGGGAATGAAGACTCCCTTTACTTCAGAATTTGTACTTCCGCTCCATTTAACCAATGGAGACTTTTCAGTTGATGTCACTGGGATAAACTTCCACTTAGAGCAATTTCTAAAATACTCTATGCTTTCTTAACTTCTGCTTTGTTTTACAAATGAACCCTCTTCTGTTGCCTATACTTCAAAACTTTAAAGTATTCCTTTAAAACTATGCCCCTAAGTGTCATAATAACATTTTCCTCATGCCATTACTTCCCTCTACCAGAGCACAACCTGTGATGAAAATCTGGCTCGCAGGCTTCAGGGACCAAGCAATGATACCCCAATCTTCAACTATGCAGCTCAGGATGTATCCAAGGTACCACCTGTGACTCACCCATGTGTGCTTCACCGGAAAGCTAATCACTAGAATTCGAAAACCTGGCATTCATCTCCTGGCCATTAATTTGAGGGGGGTGATAGCATTATTGACAAGCAGTGTTAAGTGTTATGAAGAGAGCCGAGTGTGTTAAGAAGGCTTCTACTCTGAGGCAAATATGTTCTTTAAAATACTGTAGTAAAGAAGCTCCACATTTCACACACCTGTTCTACAAGGCCGTTCCACTATGGCTGGTTAGTTATTTCAGTTCATAACGCATTTGTTGCTGTCCGTAACACCAGTTACTGTAACACCATTTCCACATCCTGAGCCACCATTGGCCCAGTTTCCCAGTGAGGGTACTGAGGCAGAGAAACAATGACTTGACTCGCCCACTGAGTCCTTACATTTTCAGAATAGTGTCCACTTGCATGACAAACAGGTTCGTGACATGGTTGTGAACGGGGCCCAAACGTGTTAAATGTCCTACATGATGGACACAGAAGTAATGACTGAGAAAAATTGGACTCCTGCTTCTTTGTGTAGAGAATGAAACCTACTCACTTACATTCGTACACAGTCGGTTCTCCATTCACTTGTTGTACAGAAGTTCAAAGTGTAAAGTGTGACTCAGCATTGAGTCTGTGGAGACTGAGGTACGCCATAGTCATGGAAAAGGCAGTAAGCATCCTGCTTGGCTTTTTTGCCAGAGATCATCGCCGTGGCATGAAAACACCTAACTGGTGCTTATCGGCAGCTCATGCCTTCCTATTTTTGAAAGCGTTCCGTAAGAACGATTCAAAGCCAGTAACTGAGATGGGAATTTGGCCCCTTTTGTACAGCAATTTGCTGAGACATGCTTCATGAAAGAGAAAACTACACAAGGTGAAATTCTATCAGCCTGAAGATAGGCAGCCAGAAAGCACAGCTGAGCTATTTTAATGATCCTGAAAGAGATGTGACTGCCATCTAGCGGCTTTTCTCATTGTATGAACCAGGTTTTTAAGGTCTGCTTAAAGGTCAAATTAGATAGGATCTAGATGATCTATAAGTAAGATCTCCCACAGCAATAAAAAAGCCGTTCCACAGAAGGACCACAGCAGCAGGAAAGAGGGAATTTAAATCTGTTCCCCGTGGAATTTTAATGGTTAAAATTGCCCCGCAGCTGCAGTTTTTTGCTGTGCAGGGAAAATGTACAGGCATCGTGCCGCCACCTGCCTGTTTTCCCCATCAGGCCAATAGTACTGGGGGATAAGGATGTTTTTTGATCAGGAAAACAGCACAGGGAAAGGACTGAGCTCTTTTCCCTGCTGCCAGAGTTCTGCTTGAAACTGGAAAGTCTTGCAACCCACTAGCAAGTTTCTTAAAAATAGAAAGATATGCATCTTTGTCTGTGCTAAGTTGTGTCTTCGGCCACTTCAGAAACTCATGCTGCTGACATCCGAAGTAGTGGGAGAGCGAGGGGGGCCGTCCACAATGCACTCCTGTTGGGGGTGGGCAGAAGGATCTCCAGATGTTTGAGATTTCGACTCCCAGAGCCCCTGCCAGCATGGCCAGTGATCGGGAATGCTGGAAGCTGGATGTCCAAAGTGGTTTCTGCGCATCTTTGGAGATCTGCTTTCTGCACATCAAACATATATCAATGTTTAATATTGCACATGGAGCAACCTACTTTGTATAGTTTCCTATTTTTATTTTTCATTCATTCATTTATTTATTTAAAGAACCAAATGAATCAAACTTCTTCACCTCACCTTCTCCCACTGCATCAGTAAGATTTCAGCATGTCTTAACTTTGTCTGGATTGCCTTCCTTTGCTCAGATTTCAGGAATAACAGTTTTAGAATGGAGCCAAAATTTAGCTCTCAACGTAAGTACAGTGGTACCTTGGCTCACAAACTAATCTGTTCCACGACTCTGGTTGTGACCCAAATTGGTTGTGACCCAAGTCAAATTTCCCCATAAGGTTCAATGTAAATAAGGTTAATCTGTTCTGTAACTAGATTTTTTTAATCAGAAAAATTTGAAACCAAGTGACAAAGAACAACAAAGTAACAAAGTACTGTACAGTACAGTGGAGAACACTAACCTAGGTGGGGGGGAGGTTATTGTTTTGAGGGAAAGTCCCCCCATAAGGACACTGGGGAGATCTCTTTCAGGGGTTTCCTCTCTTCTGTGTCTCTTAGCTGCAGGGTCAAATTTGGTGAAAAATCTGTCTATAGCCACTTGTTTTTTCCTGCGCTGCATAACCCTCCGGAAATGAGAGACCACGTTATCGTTCATCAGATTCAACACTCTGTTTGTTACAGTTATGCTGGGGTGGTGCTTCTCAAAGAAACCCTGGCACTCGTTCAATTTTTTCCTGAGGGATTGTATCACATCACTGCTCAGCTCTTCCTCTGCCTCAGTGGAATCCTCCTCAGCAAGTGCCCTCTGCTGCTCACTGGAGTTCAGCAAGTTCTTCTGTCGCCAGCTCCTCTATGTCTTCCCTGCACGAATGCAACTGCGATCGTGGCCATCTCCCCACTCGGGGGGGGGGGTGAGATGGTCTCAATTGTGCTGGTTGTGGGGGGTGAGATGACTGAGATTGCGCCCGTCTTTCCTGCGGGAGCGCGCCCATGATCATGTATGTCTTCCCTGCCCAAACACAACTCAGCGGGGTGGGGAGATGGCTGTGATCTTGGTCTCCACCCAATGCGGAGTTTGCAACTCAAGTCAAAATTTTCATGAAATTTTTGTTTGTGACCTGATTTGGTTGTGAACCAAGGTGTTCATGAGCCGAGGCACCACTGTCTCTGTGAAAGTTCTTGACTCATTTAGTGTGTGTGTATATATATCTTCCATATGTCTTCCCTGTTGCTACCTGAACCCCCTAAAATGAGTTTGATATTAACAACATATCTGGCAGTAATGCAACATTTCATGCTAACTCCTGCTCTATGGGAACTGTTGTTTCAGAATGTTACGTGTCTGTGTGTTGCTTTTGTTCGCGCCATATGCTATTTTTAATGTTTCGTGGTAGAATTTCCACCCCTTTCTATGCACCATGCACACCAATGTTGTTCAGTGTTTTAGTGAAACCTGTGCAAATTGTGTGTACACTTGCAGACCAATGCACCCCTGCTTAGGAATAAGTCTCATTGAACTCAATGGGGCTTGCTTCTGGATATACATGTATGGAATGTCACAACTGATTACTGTTTAAAATAGTTGATTTACGGGCACTGCTTCCAAACTTTTTGGAGAAGAGTTGTTGTTTTACCTCATTCCCCCAGCCCAAATGTTCAGCTAGGCTCTTGCTTAGCAGCTATAATCCCCACCGTGACACCCCCCCCCCGACACACACACACACAATGCCTGTAGTCAGAGACAGAAAAAGCAAACACTTTGTAAATAGGAGACATGTCTGCTACTTTTAAAATAAAATATTTTTATTTTATTCAGAGTGGAGACTGCAGGCCTGATCAGAGCTTATTTCTCATTTGTTTTCCCTACCACGTGCCCTTCTGGTATTCTAGCTGGAGAGCAATTGGGAGCAAAGGTTAACTCAGTTCACAAGTAGCCTCCCCGGTGAGGAGAGGAGGGCAGGTGCATAGGAGCAGAATGCACAAGTCCCAAACCCATTTGACGGGCTGCGTGCAGAGGCAGAATGCAAAGGACCAAGATGCTTTTCGTCGGACAATTCCCAAACCCATTTGATCCAGCGCCTGGTAAAATCCAGGCTAAAGCAATGTCTGGAGGAAAAGGCTTAATTCAGAAACGTTCTTTGGCTTCATCTTGTGGCTAGCCAGTCACTGAAGAAGGGAAAGATAGCAAAGCAGCTGCTTTGAGTGATTCCTGTAAGATAAGATATGACACAGATCAGATTACTTCATAAGAAATGAAGACACTGAGTACATCTGCCCCTCTGCTGGGTTTTGCAGAGAAATGGGGGTACACCTGGAGACAATCTGGGGAGTATGTGGGGAAAGGAAATGAGGAGTGTTTTACCATCCTCTCCAAGCCATGAGAAGCCAGGCATCAAGACTGTGGCTCGAGGGAACGCAAACGGCAGGGCTGCCTCATGTCGAGGGAAGAGGATGAGTTCATTTCCAGAGCATCGAGGGACACTGCTGCCCTCTGTGTGTCTGCTCAGAAGTATGTCATATGAAGGTCAATGAGACTTAGTCCCGGGCAGATGTTACAGGACAGTGTCCTTGTCTCTCTGCACCCAGCTGGCCTGGAGCAGCTCAGGCACAAAGGAAAAAGCCTGGATATTTCAAAGATGACGAGAAAAGAGGACTTAGCCTCTTCTTGAGTGGGGGGAGTTGCATTTCTTCACATGGTGGTGGCCATGGAGTCATCCTGGGCAGAGAAAATGACCTTCGCTCCCTGATGGATCCAAAAAGGACATGGGAAAGTTTTCCTACCTCTCTTAGCCCCCTGGTCATTCATCCTGATGGTTGTGGGGCTTCTTGTATTTGATGAGAGTCAAAGAACGTTTGCCATAATTTAGGGTTGTGATTGTTGAGCACTGATGTAAAAAGATGCACACCAAGACATATTTAGGTTTCATTGAGGTATCCAGATCTATCTCCCAGTATTGTTTTGCAGGAATATAAAATTTCCAACTTTGAGCAGCGGCTGATGAATGAAATAGAGTTTCGTCTGGAACGTACTCCGGTGGATGAATCTGATGATGAAATTGAGCATGACGAGATCCCTACGGGCAAGTACATTGCTCCCATCTTCGACAAGAGACTCAAGCATTTCCGGGTCTTGGAAGGGCAACCTGCTACCTTCACTTGCAAAATTGTTGGAATCCCAGTACCCAAGGTATGCCCCACATCAGGCAAAAAGCATGGCTGCCACACAGCAATTTGATGCTGAATTTCTGCACATGGCACTCTACTGTAAGGATGTTCCTGCTGGCAGGGTGAGGAAGGCAATTTTGGCTGATGCCCCCTTCTCTGTAGTGCAATGTCCCCCCCCCCCCCCAAATCTGCTTTCTGGCATCTTGTGGGCCATCAGTGGACATGGCACTGGGGCTGCAGGCGTAAGAGGAAAATGGTGAAACCACATCGTCCTTCCACCAGCAGGAGCCTCTACTGCATTGGGGTCCCTTTCATGAGCAAAGGAACACTTCTGCTCTTGGAAGGACAGCTCAGGACATGAGTCAATGGTCATGTTTGCATGCCTAGCTGACCCACCCTGGCAATAAAGATAACTCTGCTTTGTGGTCACCTGCCAAGTTAATTCCAAGAATGAGCTTTGAACTGGAAGATGAATTGGCGCACAGTTCAATCTTATGTCCCTGACCCTAACTCTCTTTAGTAGGAAATAAACCCTACTGAAGTCAATGAGGGTGCCATATTCATAGGAGGGTTTGCATAGGGTTAGAGCCTCAGGAGATGATGCTATACTAAGTCTTTTTTCATCACTATCATGTCAGGTATATTGGTTTAAAGATGGCAAGCAGATTTCAAAGAAAAACCAACATTTCAAGATGAGCAGAGAGGGTGATGGAACGTGCTCTTTGCATATTGAAGCCACTACAAATGATGACGATGGAAACTATACGTTCATGGCTGCGAATCCTCAGGTAAAGGCTTACTCCCCTTTAAAATCTATTTCTTTCCTTTGGGTATAAGAGTATAACAGAAAACCATCAGGTATTCCCCTCTCCCACAGCCAACTGGGCAAAGTTCTCCTTGGAATTTCTCTGGTTCTTCAGTTTCCAGCACATGACAACCGAAGCATAAGGAACAGAACAAGTTTATTAAGAGGATAAAATGTTGAGGTGGAGGGCCCTAAAACAGTGCAACTAAACCAGGGTAAAAGGGGAAGTTGGAGAGCAGCACTTGTACAGTTTACCACCAGCCAAGCACCCCACAATCCCAGGGTCTCCTTGAACCGCTTGGGTCCCAGAACAGCAAAACTAGCCCTCTTCTGCACTATACACAGAAATGCTACCTTCGACGGGGTCATAGTATGCAGGGCATCATAGCGTGCTTCAACATGAAGGATAGGCAGCAGGCAGGAACCCCTGAAGAAGAGCAAAAGTCTTCATTATTCTCTGGCCTTTATCCCCCATTACCACTTGTGGGGAGATGGCGCATCTCCGATCCTTGCAGCCAACCATTTACTCCAAGTGTCAGCCATTAACAAGTCAGTTCTGCTGTCTCCAGCACCCTTGACACCATAATTTCTGATAACTCCCAAAATACATTGCAAAGGAAGGCCTCCCAAGACCTTATAGCACTTAACCATTAAGGTTTTAACCCTTTGCTCCCCGGAAGCCAAAAGGTTGGTTCGTGTTGCAAAAAGATGTGTACAAAGCAACATAGTTTTGGAAGGCTCAGTTGACAAGCACTCTTGTTCTATTCAGTCTGAAATGCTGCAAGGAGAGAGCAGAGTAGAGGTCCATCAACTGGGAATGAGGCATCCTGGAATGGTCAGTGAATGACTAACGTTGCTTCTCTCCTGTATTGTTCTGGCAGGGGAGAATCAGCTGCTCTGGTCACTTGATGGTGCAAACTCCTCCAATACGTAGTAGACTAACAACAGCGATCCAGCCTCACAGGTAAAAGAATCCAACAGTAGCTGGTGCTAGATGCCTATGTTGTGAGGTAAGCGTGAATGTACTTGGCAAATGCAGTTGTGAGATCTTGCCAAATTAGCCTTCCGCAAGCTGGCATCCCTCCAAGGCTACACAGCTCATCATCACCAGCAACCATGTCCCAGAGTCATGGGAAAGGTTCTCCTAAATGGAGAGATGCAGTGGCTCAACCTTACTTGGAGGCCACATTTCCTGACATGGAAGTCCCACCAACCAACCTCAGCCCACATTTACCGGTTTTTCTATTGCAGGGGAAGATCTCGTATATCAGAAGGAGATAAGGAACCCATCCAGGAGCGCTTCTTCCGGCCATATTTTCTACAGGCGCCCGGGGACATGGTAGCTCATGAAGGGCGGCTTTGCAGACTGGACTGCAAGGTACGAGGGTTAGCTGGCTTTCTTTTGTGTACCTTGTTGCATTAGTGCTTGCTCATCTTCCTGAGAACAAGTGCATAAATGTGTATGCCATGCAGGCTGGATTCTGCTTTTTAAGAAAATATCCATTTATGACTAATTAATATACTGGGCTCCAAAAGTAATATAGTGCCAGGAACATGCTATGGTCTCCCAGAACAGAACACTCAGGTGACCTTGAAATGGAAAATGATATCAGGGAAGCTTTCAAATGAGGGAGTGTTGTGATAATGTGTGGCTTCAGTTAGCTTCATATTGATTGGAAAAATGCATGTTCCTCTCTTGCTCCCAAGATCAGTTGGAGACAGACCCAACCAGAGGGCAGGCAATCTTGGACTTCATCCTAAATTGTATTGCCCAGGACCCAAGTACAAGATGAAATGTTGCGGAACCAGTTGGTGTGCTATTAGATTTAATATGTGTTTTGAATGGGAAATTTCCAGAAAGTCCAACATTTGAGTTCAAAATTTGTCTAAAATGAAGGAATTGGTAAAAAGAATGCTGAAAGGGAGAGTTAAGAGGACAAATTCCTTCAAAATGATTGGAGATTATTCAAAACCAAAGTGATAAAAGCTTAGCTGGCATCTATGTTGAAGGTTAGGAAAGATCCCATCAAGTCCATGAGGTCATCAGCATGTTTTACAAGCAGGGTCTGGAAAGTTATTATACAAACAAAGCTTTCTTCAGAAAATAAATCTTTCCCAAATGAAGAATACGGGAGGGAGTAGAAACCTGCTTAGAGGAGATGCAGGCAAGCAAGAGATGCCACAGTATTTTGGGAAGCATATTACTAACAACATCATAACCAACAAGAAATAATCCAAGAAAGAATAAATAAAGAATACTTTATTTCTAAACATATTGGACCATTGGATGACAGCAGAGTTAAAGGACTACTTAAACATGGAGCAGCTGATTTTTTTTTCAATCTGTCTTCACTCAGAAGAAATAGGACAGATACCTGCACCTAAACTGAAGTTTTAGAAGAGAGTTGGAGGTGCTTTGCCTCAGCAAAGCGTGTTGACAAAATATGAAGTTTTAAACCTTACTGACAAATTGAAAATTAATAAATAACGAGGCCCAGATGGTATCCATCTTAGATTTCTTAATGAAGTTGAATATGAAATTGCTGATCTTCTAACAGAAATATGTAACCTACTTCTCTCCTGGTGACTGACCAATGTAACACCAGTTTTAAAAAATAGATCCAGAACAGATCAAAGAAATTATATACTGGTTAGCTTGACATTTGTTCCAAGTAAATGGGTTGAAAGCATTATTAAAGATAAAATTGGAGAGCATATAGAAGGACAAAACTCCCTGGAAAGGGATCAGCGTGTCTCCTGCAAAGGTAACTCCTGCCTTACTAATCTTTTCAATTCCTTTGAGAGTGTCAATAAACATGTGGACATTGTTTACTTGGACTTCCATATTTTGGAATCTCCTGAGCAAATTTAATGGCCATGGAATAGCAAGCGAGATCTCCCCATGGCTCAGTAACCGGTTAAAGAACAGCAGGCAGAGGATAAAAATAAAAGGGAAATTCTCTCAGTGGAGGGATGTAAACAGTGCAGTCCCTATAGGGATCTATACTGGGACCAGTGCTTTTCAATTTATCATGAGCAGGAAAATCACCAACTTTACTGACGACACCAAACTTTTAGGATGGATAAACAATAAGTGATTGCAAGGACTCCTAAATAATCTCTCCCAAATGGGAGAAGGGGCATCAAAATGACAAATTCAGTTGAGGGTAAACAGTGCATATTGGGACAAGAAAAATCCTAACTTGAAGTATAAGCTGATGGGATATGACCTCACTGTGAAAACTGTGAGAAAACTGATTTGGGGTTCTGCTTGAGAGTTCAATGAACCTGTCAAGCCCAGGTACAACTGCTGTGAAAAAAGGCAAACTCCATGCAAGGCGCAATTTGGAAAGGTGCGGAAAATGAAATGGCCAGCATCATACTTCCTTTTTACTAATATATGGTGCATCCTCCCTTAGAATACTGAGTACTGTTCTGGTCACTGCACCTGAAGAAGGATAGGATTGGATAGAACTGGGGAAAAGTGCAGAAGAGGATAGCTGAAAAGATCGAGAGGCTGGTGCAACCCTCCTATGGTCCAGCATCTGGGATGGTCCAGCTTAGACAAAAAAGCAAGCGGAGGAGACATGAAAGAGAGAGATACTAGATTTTGCATGCTGTGGAAAAGGTAGACAAGGAGCGTTTTTCTCCCTTTCTTTCTTAATGCTAGGACTTGGGGTCATCCCATGAAGACGATTGGTGGGAGATTCCACACAAATTAAAGTAACTTCACACAGCACATAGCTAAACTGTGGAATTCACTTCCATAAGATGTAGTAATTCCCACCAATTCTGGTGGCTTATCAAGAGAATTAGGCAAATACATGGAGGATAAGGCTATCAGTGCCAATGAGTCCTGGAATGTTTCTGTACGCCAGTTGCTGGGGGACATGGGCAGGAGGTGCCATTGCACTTATGTCTTGCCTGTGGGTTTCCCACGGGTAACTACTTAATCTCTGTGTGAACAGAATGGATTGGGATGGACCCTTGGTCTGGCCCAACAGGATCTTCGTAGATTCTTACATTTGATTTGGGTTGATTTGGGCTGTACCACTTTATCAGCTGAATGCATATTCAAATTTCCTGCTACATTCTATCCCGCATCGACCTTGTCCACATGCACTGCACGTCACTGAAGGGTAATTTATGTGTGAATATGCTGGAAATCTTTGGGGTTCCTTCTTCATCCTCAACAAGGGACACTGCCATAACTCTCTTTCATGGGTGGTCAACTGGTAGGCCTCTCTCCAAAGACTTTGCCCAGCAGCTCTCATGATCCCTCAGCATTGGACCTGCTGGACAATAAAATGTAGAAAAGAAGAAGACAGATTGAAGAATTTAATGACAAATTGAAATTCTATTATATCCAGTATAATTAATGTGATATAAAAGGAAGCTCGTTAAAATATTGTCAATGATTTACAATTGTTTTGAAGTGATTGGAAAACTTGTCATTATAGAAAACTATGGTCATTCTTTTTTCAAGCTTCAACAGAGTATTGATTGACAGAAAGATAGAAATCTGTGGTCTCTTTGGAAATATGCAGGCTATGAATGCATTGCTTAACTTGTTTAAAAATCCCTTTGCAATTTTATTTCACTTTTTTCCCTTATACTCTTCTTTTTTCTGTATCTTACCATTTTAAGAAAACAAGAAAACATTAAAAAAAAAACCATTGGTCCTGTGGGCTAGGGTGCTGAAAATTATGGTCCAGAATGTTTGGCCTACAACTTCCATGATTCCCCACTCCCCAAATTGGCTATGCTGACTAAGGCTGAAGGGTATTGTGACCCTCCACGTATTTTGTCCTACAAGTTGCCCTTCCTCATTCCAGCTAATCTTTCTGTACTTGTTTCCCCACACCACTTCTATAGGGGAAATGGACCAAAAATGATGCGATTTTTAGATAGATAGGGCACTCCTGATACCACTTGCCTATAGCTGTTTTCTCTTCCGCCAGGTAAGTGGGTTGCCACCTCCAGACCTGATGTGGCTTTTGAATGGCAAGCCCGTATTACCAGATACCACTCACAAGATGCTGGTCAGAGAGACTGGAGTGCACTCCTTGCTTATTGATCCCATCACGCAAAACGATGCTGGAATTTACACTTGCCTCGCCACCAACAAAACGGGGCAGAATTCAATCAGCCTGGAGCTTAGTGTTGTAGGTAAGTTTGTTTAAGGTGTTTTAATTCTGAGGCTGCAGAAGGAACCCCCACACCATGGTTTATCTCTCTTCATTCCTGTATATTGAGCGTCAGCCCCCCATGCCTTATAGTCGCTACCCTGCTGGCAGACGTTGGGTCATATGAAACTCTTCACTGTTTGAATGTACAGTGGTACCTCAGCTCACAAATGCCTCAGTTCACGACCAAATCGGGTCACAAACAAAAATGTCATAAAAATTTTGGATCAGGTTGGAACGCTGCATTGCGATTGCCCCGTCTCCCCACCCCACCCCCAAGTGGGGAGATGGCTACGATCATGCTGGGGGTGGAGGGGGTAGATGGCCGAGATTGCGGCCGCCTTTCCTGCATGAGTGCAATCACGATCTCAGCCATCTCCCCACCCCCCCCCGCACGATCGCGCCCATCCCCTCCCGAGCGCGACTGTGTTCACAGATTAAGTTCGTGAGCCAAGGTACCGCTGTATTCTCTTGTGGTTTTCCGAGGCAGGGACAGGGACACTGTAGTCCTTACACTGTCGCTGGATGCCAGGTTTCATCGTTACTAGCTGCTAGCCATGTGGGCCAGTGGCATTAGCCACCAACTCCATTGAGTGGGCCACAAGTCCCACAGCTCTCTTGAACAGCATGTGCCCATTAGCCTCGCTTCATACCAGAAGGAGAGAGGCAGTCTTTGTTCCCGTGGAAGTTTCTCCTCACAGACACACACCAGAAGCAGTCCTGGAGAATTACTTCTGCTAGGGATGTTTACATGCCCAAGCCAACCGCCGACAAGGGGAGAGAAGAAGAGATGCAGGTGTCTGGGGATCTTTAAGGGGAAGACAGCTGCAATCAAGACGAACTGCAGCTGACTCAGGAACAGTAGAGGGTGCTGAAGGAAAAGAAAGGGAGAGACTTTCTGCCTCCTTCATCAGCTTGCACTGCTCCCCCTGACAAATGGGAGCAGGTATGTTGCTTTTCGTGCAGCACCCTCCTTCCTAAGGATCCATCAGGAAACAAATGGAGAGCAAATATAGGAGGAAGGGCTGAAGTTTCTTAGTGCCCTGCCCTTCTGTGCAAAGGTGTTTATTGTATTTGTTATTATCATCATGGGTGACCAGGGAACAGTTGCCTGGCGAGACATTGTCTGGCCTGGTAGGCAATGGCAGACAAGAGGAAGCTGAGGAGGAGACACGACGTGGGTAAAGCTGGAGAGTAGCATTCGGAATATCCTACTGAGTCTGGCCATGGCATGGCACCACCACCTCCAAGATGTGAAGCCACACCAAACATTTGCTTTTCCTTGAACATCTCAGCCTTGTGTGTTTTAATTATATCTTATGAGAGATAGCAAACCTTCTTCCATTATAAGGGAATTCAAAGTTCTTGACTTCCCAGTACCACCTAGAAAAAGCCTGGCTTTGCACACTCCATTGGCTGAGGTTTTGGCTGATGGCAACCTAGAACAGGGTTTTTTCCCGTGAAGGAGTACTTTTCTGAACCTCCACCATGAAGAAGTCTGCCAAACCAAGTTGCAGTTTTTTGTTTGTTAATTTGTTTTCAGAACAGCAGTAAAAGCTTTCCTGTTCTTTCAAGTCTATGGAATAAACTTATATTGCCAACTAAATGTTGTTCTCAGCTGATTGTTTTTAATTAGCTTAATATCAATTGGTTGATATAATCACACATCCCGTTTGAGAATTATTTATGCAGGCTTGCATTTTTTATTTAAGGACCACAGGATATCTTTTTACTAGCCAAAGAAATAAAACCAATCATCCTGGGCATGTTGAAACAGAAAAAAGGTCTAGAACGCCCAGGATTCCCCATGGCTGCATCCAAAGGTTGTTTTCCTCCAAAAGAAGCTCCCCCTGTTGGAGGAAGAGAGCCTTTGCATGCAATCATGATGCAAGTGGGACTAAAACTGATTGACTTTTTGCCTTCAAATATTAGCAATTTCCATTATGGGTGAGAAGTTCTATCCACTCTTCCACCTTTTCCTGTAGAAAGACAGATCTTTCATTTTGAGTTCTGTTGCTCCCAATAGCAGTATACAAGTTGTCCAGTAAGACCAAAGAATCACATCAGCAATCGTCTCCTCTCTTTTATAGAAAAGGAAGTTAAAAAGGCTCCAGTGATATTGGAGAAGTTACAAAATTGCGGTGTACCAGAAGGGCATCTAGTCCGACTAGAATGCCGAGTGATTGGAATGCCACCCCCAGTCTTTTATTGGAAGAAGGACAATGAGACCATCCCAGCGAACCGAGAAAGGATGAGGTAGGTGTACATGCTTTGAGAATGAGATGATACATCCCCCCTCTACATCTGAGAATCTACAGGGTGGGGTATTTACACAGAAAAGTTAATTTTGTCTTGCATTAGACCAAAGCAACACAGGGATTATGCCATATCCATGAAGTCTGTATTCATCCAGGAAGTCCATTTTTACCTATGGGGCTTGAGGAATGTGAGGATTTATGGCTCTGTTCACTTACTGCCCTCTGAAGGGGGTTCTGCAGCAGAAGCTAAGGTGTATTTAAATTGCTATGTATGATATGTACATATGCGCTGGAAAAGCCACACTTGGCTATGACTTCCCTGTAAATGTCGAAGTAGCAAACGTATAAGCATTCAGAAACACACACACACACACACACACACACACACACACAAATCCTTGTAAGAAAGTATTTCTTTGCATAACAGTGTAAAGAGTGAGAGGATCCTCAGGACATCTACTTTCCTGGCTGCCTAACTTCTCTTTGAAAGATATGGATGACTTGCTGTGGTGCAGTAGATCCAGGGCTCCTGGGAATGCAGCTCCTGCACCTATTTATTAGCAGGAATGCTGACGTCATCCACCACCCACGCACCCCTCAGGCTTCCTTGCTTTCTCTGAGGCTTCCTGCAGGCCCCTCAGTTGCCGGGGAACAAGGCATTTCCCAACATTATACTGTTCCCCATTGTAATTCACATCAGCTTTGGGTGGGGCTGGGTCTCAAAGGTGCTTGGATGTCAATTGAAGCCAAGAAAGAAATTTTTGGTTTTGCAAGAAATGGGATTCAGTTCCTAATGTGTACCTGGCAGAAACTCTAATGTAAGATTGGAGTCTTTCTCAGCCCTTTGTCAGCCCTGCCATGGGATCTCTTCCCCACACATGCCAAACACATGTTCTGTTTGCATGTGCTTTTCTTGTATGTTTATAATTTAAGAGAGGCCTCTGTTATGTCAAACCTAATTGCAAATTATAGCAAGAACATTTGGGATGTTTGTTTTTAGTATGCATCAAGATGCTACAGGGTATGTTTGCCTTCTGATTCAACCTGCTAAGAAAGTGGATGCTGGTTGGTACACTTTGTCTGCAAAAAACGAAGCTGGAATTGTCTCCTGTACTGCTAGACTTGACATATATGGTAAGCAGTGATGTTTTAAGTAACACAATAAGAGAACTGATGTAATGCGAACATGATGTCTGTAGTCTACCCCTCTTCCCAACATGACTCTATTGCGACTCTTTGGAATCAGGGCTTGATTTTTCTTTAAAAATCTCTTACCTGATGCACATAATCACTGGACATGGTTTGACCAAGGTTCTCCTCTTCTGGTTAAGATGTTGCTGGGCAGGTTCTAGGAATGTGAACCAACCTGGAGCAGATGACAACTAGCAAAGACTGGGGCACAGGTCTGGGAGGCAACATGAGTAGCTTCAGCGAAGCCCAAAGCTGAACTGCTTCCTTCTATTCTCAGTTCTTCGTATGGAGTCTTGTGGGTTCAGGTGAAACATGGAGAAAGCAAAGCTGGCCCAAATCTTTCTGCCACCTGAGATGGTGGAGATCCTAGGGCTGTGTTCCCAGGGTCTCTTTCAAAAGCATGCAAAAGGTGCTGAGGCACCTCTCTCAGATTGTTCAAAGCCACATTAAATCCAAGCGCCATACCCTCTACAACGTGATAATCTCCCATCAGAACAAGCCAGCATGACCAGTGCTCAGGAAGCTGGGAACTGTAATCAAAAGCCCCTTGCGAGGAACCAGGTGGGAGAAGGCTGTTGTAAGGCCCCATGGGGTACATCTCCAAGATTGCTGCTACAGAAATAAAGAGCCCCGCCTCAGATTGATTGCTAGAGCGCGTGGGTGACCCTATGGGCAAAGAGTCTGAAGCCAGACGCAATGCACTGAAGGTCAGTTAGACTTCACCAGGGACTTGTTCAGCTAGAGCAGGGTGGGGGCAACGCGGCCTGCAGTGCCTTTGGCTTTGGCCTTTGGCCTCCCCTCCCCGTTCCCCCCCACAGCAAGCAGCCCCCACCTGCATGCAGGCTTCCTAGGCCTAATTGCAATGCATGGGGCAGGGGAGGAGGTGTTTTTGGAAGGCGACAGGCAGGGAAGAGAGGCTTGACCGTGCCCTCTTTACATTCCCCTGTGCAGCAGAAATTCCTACCCTGCAACAACTAGACTTTTTAACAGGTCCCATTCATTCATTTCAACCAAGCCTAAATACTATGGGGGGGGGCAATTTGGGGGGAGTGCAGCTGGAATGCTTAACACTCCCTGCATACAGTCATGTCTTAGGAAATCTCAAGAAGAATCTGTGTGTGTGTGTGTGTGTGTGTGTGTGTGAGAGAGAGAGAGAGAGAGAGAGAGAGAGAATAAATACTGCCTACCCAAAATTGTCTCTAGCCCTGCCCTGCTATGATACGTGAACCCCAAAGTAACCCCACAGGGAGAATCTCTCCCTCCCTCCCTCCCCCATTCTTGGTTCATAATTCAGTAGATTGTGTAACTTGTGAATGTTTCATGACTACCCTGAGCTAAAATTCACTTTGTGTAAGTGCAACCTGTATCCCAAGACCAACACTGCAGGAATGCCATGTTAATATTGTCTGCTAGGTTTCCACTTGTAAAGTAAGAGTAGACATTTGCAAGGTTTTTATCTGGCATCAGAAAGAGAGATTTCTGTCTTGTGTTCATGTATTTCTGTTTCTCCAGCTCAGTGGCATCAACAGATCCCTCAGCCAATAAAGATTCGCCCGGGTGGCACCCGATATACCAGTCTCCCAGGACAAGGACTCGACATTTTTTCTGCTTTCTCAACTGTTGAGAATCCGGCGCGGTTTTCTTCACCATCCCAGCGTGTGGTAGAAAGTGAAGAACTTTAAAAATCCCTGCTTTGAATCCTACCTGCAAAAAACCGAATAATACTAGAACTGTGAAAAAGAATGGAGGGTACAAGCCGGGCGACTCAAGGTTTACAGGCAACTTGTATTTGTGGAGTAACTGTGAAGTTGCCGAAATTCCTCTGAGTGACATGCATACAAGACCTTAGTATGGCATCGTGATCCTTGCACTACAATCAGTTCAGTGCTGTGTTACTTCTTCCCCAAGTGCTATGAAGGAAGGTGGCCTCGCTTTCACCTTTTAAGAGAAAAAGCTGTTCCACTTCTTACTGCTTGAATGTAAAAGCTACTGAACCGTGAGTGAGGATATTGGATGCCCAGCTAAAAGTTCTGACACTGTGATCATCCTGAGAGGGTAAACTACATGCCTTTGAACATAAAAGGCGACTGACAGTCACAAGCAAAAACAGCCAAATGAAAAGGGTTATAGATCAGTTTAATAGGAATACATATCGATAAGAGACCTGGCAGATTCGAAGCTAGATAGGCATAGCATTTCAAATAGAAGCTGCTATATACAGTAGAACTTTTTAAAACCATTGTGTGAGTTATATTCCATGAGTCATGTACCCATGGGGTACTGGATCATATTGTAAGACACCATAGCATTTCCTTTGGATATAGATATATACAATTAAGGCTGCGATGCTATAGCCACTTTCCTGGGGGAAGCACTAATGAACTCAGTGGAACTTGCTTCTGGGTAGGCCTGTACAGGATTGGGCCATCAACAGCTTCTGTCCGATGAAACACATAGTATATATACACCGCAACTATCACTGCAATATACATTTTGAAGTGTGCTTACTTTTTCTTTCTTCCATTTTAGAAATTTGCTCTTTTGAACCAAACAATGGCATAGAGGTTATTTTTGTTTCATGGGCTTGAAGTTATGAATTCCGTTCTCATCCTGTGGTTTTGATTATTGTATATGTATTATGCATAATATACAATGCTCAAAATGAGTCAGGATGCCACCCCACTTCTTTTCAAGGATACCTATAGCCATCCCCAACTTTTCAGGCTGACATAATTGTGTCTGGTCTAATCCTTTTTCTCCCACTTTGAAGCCATCTCACATTCTTCGCAACCATCTTCCTTTTGCTCTCACTTTGGGTACAGATCACAGCTCTCATTCTCTCTCTCTCTCTCTCTCTCTCTCTCAGTGGATATACATATGGGTAGCATTCAGTGCTGTATTTCATTTATGAAGTTGATATAGCACTAGCATAAGCCTAGCTCTGTGTCAATGGCACAATCTGGCACTGTGGTTTTCTGTGGAAATCCGTGTTGCCCACTTATGCTATTAATGCTGCACCAGAAGTCACTCATGCTTCTGCCACATCAATCATGTAAGCAGAGCAGCGGCCTTGGATGCTGGCTAATATACATACACAGGAGAAAATACTTCCACGGATGTCCTGTAGTAAGCAAACAGGAACTGTGTCCTGATCCAATCAAATTTATTACAGTTCTATTTTGGATGCTGGTAGAGCTCTTTGAAGCAGATAATTCTGTATTCGTATTTCTAGGACAAAGCTTTAGCACTTGGGTAAAATGCAAAGGACTTTTTTTAGCAGGTGGTAAAATGAATGCACACAAGGGGGGATGTCTTTAATAACGCAGCTAATTAACCCATTTTACTGAATTTCTGTCTTATGCATTATTCTAAACAGTTTCCACTAAGACTAGGAATATATATTATCAACATTTTTCCTGCTTCAAACTATTGGTCAGATGTGTAATTCTGGTTTCACCAATCCGGGTTTGAACTGCTCCCATCAGGTTTTACCAAAGATATCCATAAAATACAACGTAATATTGCTATAAATATAAATCTCCATAATATTGCTATAAATATTATTAGCAGTGAACTATCACGTCTGTATAATCTGCACAAAGCCTCTGCTCAAGGCCTCAAATCTTCCAAGTAACATAATAACATTCTGATTCAAAACCAGGACCTAAATATTCTCTGCTTTTGCACTAACAGAAAGTTCTACACAGTTCATTAGCAGTAATTACAGGTTTCATCAGAATGAGGAGAGGACGGATCACCTGGTAAGTCTGCTGAAGATTCCATGGTGTCCACATATCAGTGTTTGGAAGTTTCTTTGTGTGAGAAGAGAAAGGAGACTTTTTAAGAGGAGCAAGTTTTAACAGGTGAATTCAAATACAGGAGAGTTGGCTCACTAATGCAAGATGCATTTTCTGATAGCTGTTTATACAGGGAACAGAAGAAAACTACTGTCAGTAGAATTCTGTCATTGCTAGTTAGCCCTGGGTCTGATTCTGATCTCAACAAGACCAGATTACACTGGAAAGCAATAACCTTTAAGACCAACATTTCTACTTTGTTATAAAAGAGGCCAGAATCTGAACTGTTCATCATGAGGCCAAGTTCTGTTACCTGTATTTTAGCAAAATAACAGTTCCTTTTAAAGGGGAAGTAATACCTTCTAAGTACAGCTGGACTTCATGGGTCAAAATGGAACTGTATTCCAAGCTTTGATACATAGCTTAAAATCTTTCTCAGTGCATGTATATGAAATTAATTATCACTTTTGTTTGCTCACATAAAGTAAGACGGACAGTATTTGCTTAAATATTTACTAGGAATGACGTCCTTCTACCCTTGTTGCTATGAATGTTTCTGTAGAGAAAGATGCATAAGGCATCACTTTGCCACTGCAGGTATGGATACGTAACAGTGAATGTCCAAAATTTAGTGAAAGTTGGCATTCAAATATAAATGCTCCAGGCAAAATTTGTGTATGTCTGAAAATCTGGTTATACAGCAATTAACATTAATGCTCATACAAATGTGATTAGCATCATTCACTAACTGATGTATGTCTGAAAAGCATGGAACACCTCCCCCACAAAAAGCTGTCACTATTCTTACATGAATGCCAATATGGAGCAAATTTTGGTTATTTAGTGTAATAGTGACTAATTTAACTTGCAGCCCATATACACTTAACAAGAAGTAGGTCCCATTGAAATGGATCTTACTTCTGTGTAAACATGGATAGGACTACACTGTCAGATCTGATTTCAGTGTAATTTAGTATTGACTTCTGCTGGATTGTGCCCAGAGATGCATAGCACCCTTGATTAAGTGTGGTATAATTGAGCGGATAACATTGTATGAAAAGGGCCGTTGGAGCCACTGATACTGCCAAAAAGCAGGACAGATTCTCTGTCAAAGTTTTCTTCTTGTATAAGATTGTTTGACCCCCCCCCCCGCATTTTTCATCAAACTTACACTGACTTTGCACTGTAAACTAATCCTTTTGCCTTATGCAGCAAAAAAACATTCCTGCAAAATTCCCAAAGGACAGAATTTCCAGATTAACAAAATGAGATCTTTTAAGACCTCAGTTGGAATTTAATAGGAGTTAATAGGGAACTTAAAGGTGCAGCCCTGTCACCCCTACAGCTGATGGGTGAACTCAGAGGTTTACGCCTGGTGCAATTTGCAACGCTGGTGTTCTCCACACTGCCATATCTTGCACCAGGTATTTTCTCTGGATGAATATTTTCAGTTGTCTAGATTTCGTGCCAGGAAACGGGAGGGAAGGAGGCTGGGACACGAATTGGAATCAGTGTGATTCTGCAGTGCAAGCCTCCTCACCCCTTCCAAGGACCAGTTGCGACATCCAGGGAGACAGCTGGCATGGTTGTTTCGGCATCAGCTGCAAGGCGGCAGGGCAGGGGCTTGGCCTTCATAGCCCCGGCTCCAAGACCGCAGGATTCTGGAGCGGGAACTTTGAAGAATCCTGTGGCCTCCCCAGCTGATGTTAATGAGGCACAGGATTGTGCTCTACTGCGATGTTTGGTAGAATGAAACATAATAAACAGGAACTAAATGCCAGATGTGTGTGTCCACTGATGGAACAGAATCGGCCAGTAGAGCAAATTCCCCCTTCTGCCAGTTGGTATCCCTTTGCAGTTCTGCTCCTGAAGGTTGCAACAGCCTCCAGAACAGATTTTGGGAATAGAAAGAGCCGCAGGGGAAGGAGAGCAGAGGAAATGTTTGTTGCATGAGCAGAAGATTGCTTGCACAACCTTAAATTTAGGGCAATGGAATTTTATTAATATTTCCAAATTCATAGAGTTGAAATCAGGATCTGATTCCTCCTGGCAGAAGGGCCTGATTCAAAGACGGTGTCCTTCCCCATTTAGAGGCTACCTGTTCCACCTCACACCACAGTTCACCCAATTGCCAACGTTCCCTCAACCTTTTGTGTAGGATTGTCCATGGGAGGAGGGCATGTAGAAGGTTGCTTCCACCAGCCAAGATGGACATGCTTGAATCAATCCATCCCATATTGTTCTCCATCTATTTAGCTTCTTGTTTTGTTTCGGAGGTTGCTAAGAAGAAATGGCTCTGGGCAATTCAGAAGATCCCAAAAAGCAGCCCAAGAAATATAGGAGCACTAGGCATCCGGAAAGTTTCTCCTGTGCTTTGAGACTATTGGTTGTATCTCAACCCAGATCTTCGATTCTGTGTTGCAACGAAAAGATGCTACAGGTGACACTTACAGCAATGACAAAAACCCAACATTGTGGATGCAATGCAGAAATGTTAATGGAGGTCTTGAAGGTAGATTAAGTAGCACTCCTATTTTGCACTGGAAAGCCGACAAAGAGCCAACCTTCAGAGTTCTCATATATAGGCAAAACACAAATAAAGCAAATGATAACAGCACAGACAGCCTCACATTTCAGAACTGAAAATACTCTATAATTATGTGAATTAGGTCAACTGACCAAGGACTGCTTTGATATATTATGGAAATTGTGAGTCAAAGAAACGCTATGTGTAATAAGAATTTGGGGTGGGGTGGGGGATGTTAAACCATACTAACAATGCCAGCAGAATCAAAACACAGTTTTCTGAAAAGTAATAACCTATACCCCAAATAAATGGTAACAGTGTTGCTATAGCAAGGAAAAGTTAATGAAATGTATCTGTTAAATGAAATACTGCACAAGGCAATGGCCTTATATTCTGTCAACATGAAGTTACCGTATTTTTCGCTCTATAAGACTCGCCTGACCATAAGATGCACCTAGTTTTTAGAGGAGGAAAACCAGAAAAAAAATATTCTGAATCAAATGGGCACATAATCACAGGCACATTCCCCATCATTTCCCCATGGGCTGCACATCTGACAGACTTACTGCACACACATATTCGCTCTATAAGACACGCAGACATTTCCCCTTACTTTTGAGGGGGGGAAAGTGCGTCTTATAGAGCAAAAAATATGGTATTTTTCCATTAAAATGGGTTTTTATTCTGATGAAATATGAAGGTATATAATCTTCGATAGAAAGTGGGAGAGAATGAAAGGTGCAATTAAAGTACATGTTAAATGCATATAAAGGGAAATACCAGATTTTTCAGCAAATGTATTTTCCTTTATCAATTCAATAAATGCTTCGGAATTGCATTATGTGAGTATCTCTTTGACTCCTTCCTCAGGGAACTGATACCAAGAGTATTTCAGAGCCAAATGTTTGGGTGGTATCCAGATCAACGCACTAATAGCCATTACGCTGCTTTAGCATAAACGACCTATCTAGAGCAATGCCAGTGGAGTTGGCTGCTCCGCAGGTCTACTTGATCTTAACAAGAAACACTGCAACTCTCCTAGAACTGAAAAGTATTTATTTTGCTGATTTATGCATATTGCTTTTAATATCTTTCCACTGTCCGGTTACTTGTGAGAAATAAGATGTTTCATACCTTATTTGTTCATTTCTTTGATACTTGGTGGTGAAGCGCCACAATGCTCTGAAGGCTTATTGCTCCACTTGGGACTCCCAGCGCTTCCGTGCAAAAAGCATCAGCACAGGGGCAGATCCAACATTCAGTTTGTGCAAGAGGCACTCCTGGTTCGCCACCCACCCCAGGCTGACAGTGCCAATCACAAGAAGTAGATTCTGCACCTCCGAGCTGCTACCTGCCTAAAAGCTCATCAACTCAATCAGCAGGGTGCAAAGATACCTTCTCAGTGCAGCAGAGAGTTCCAGAGTCCATGTACTTAAAAGTCGTGTCCTTCTGAATTCATGGTCCTTTATTTTAGGGCCCATGGCTACAGTTCCATGTCAGGTTGCTTGTCACCAGCAAAACTTTTTGGAAGTCAGCAGGGATGCAAGATGCTTTTCGTTGCAGCTGCCACCAATTGGAAAGCCCTGACTACCAATGCTGGGCTGGAATTTATTCGTATAGTTATGATGCAGTGATCTGAATGTTGTAATCCTGTACCAGTAAAAAATTATCATTATTGCACTACATTTATACCCCACCTTTCTTCCTCTGGCAAGGAGCCCAAGCTGGCTTATAAGGTTGTCTTTCCCTCCATTTTATCCTCACAACAACCCTGTGAGGTAGGTTAGCCTGAGTCAACAACTGGACCGAAGTCACTCATGAAGTTAGCTTCATGGTTGAACCCATAATCGAACCAGAGTTCATGTTCTTAACCTCATGTCAACATAACAGTGTAAACACTCTCAGATCATAGCGCTGAAAAGCCATCTGTCTATGCCAAGCCACTTCTCAATGCAGGTCCAGCCATTACATGCCGGACAGACAGAATGGCTATGCCACCCCTCTGTCAATATCCCCCACTTCCCGAAGCAACCTGTTCAACCAGCCTCATCATTAGGAAGTTTCTCCTAAAGTTTAGGCTGCAAACGACTTCCTTGTTATTTCTACCCATTTCTAACTCAGCCAGGTAAGTAATTTAATTGTGCAGGATTCTTGGATTTCCCTCTAGGTAAAAACACAGAACTCTGGACTCTCAAATCTCTAGTCTGTGATGTGATCCAACACCCTAAATCTGACACACCACTAACCTGGGGGCTTTGCATTCTCAGTCATGTAAGAAGGCAGATCACCTATCACATGGGTGTTCACCCAAACGAGGAAAATTTAGATCAGACTAGTGCATTTTACATCTTATTAAAAGGATCACTTGCTACCTTATTATCAGAAATTATATAACCTGATTTCTTTTTCTACTTTTTTAATGGAGCAGATAAGATCCAGACGGGTGAAATTTAGACTGGGAAAATGCAGGAAGGGTTAAAGACCTCTAGTCTCTAATCCTTTGCCTAGAACAAATTAGCAGCCCTCTGCCCCCTTCCTGGCTGCATTTAGTAAAACAAAAACACAAGATCAGTCAGACTTCCCTGTGTACTGTGTACAGTTCAGCCCACTTGAAAACGTAGCTTCAAATCTAAATCTCCCATTAAGAAGCCCCTTATAAAAACACCCCAGCTGTGATCCCAACCATCGGGGGTCTTCTGTTCACTGGTGATGCACAGCCATGTTGGCATTTTATATGGTTCCCACCCACTCAGCACCCTCTTCAAGTCTGCCGAAAAGGAAGTATCTGCTTCCGTGGCCTCGCAGGTCTGCATTCTCCCCACCACTTGGTCGCCTTCTCTCTTGTAATCTTTGCAGCCCATTTCTGGCCACTTGTGTGTCAGAGAAGGGGGAATTTCTACATTTCCAGAGCTTTGGTCAGGCAGCAACGCAAGTCCAAGACATCCCACTAGTGGAGTCACTGAACTACTTTCCTTGCTGGTGCAGGGCAAAAAACCACATGCATCCAGGTATCTGGAGGGTACATAAAAGGAAAGCAAAGAAAGAGCACCTCCGTATCCAAGGGCTCGTTTGCTTTCATGAAGTTCAACCTCATTGTATGTCTAGATTTTATGACATAATTAATCAGAGAACGAGGCAAGTTAAAGGGTTGCTTATTATGAGGCATGTGATAGAGGAAACTTCCCCTTGATTTTATGGTCCGAGAAATTAAAACCAGATTTTAAATAAGCCAGTGTGCTGGAAGTGATGGACTATGCACATGTTAGCTATTATCCACAAGCTAAGAGACATAGGAACTACAACAATGCTGCTAGGGCATATTTAACTCCTACTGTAGGATACCCACTACTTTTTAAAAGTGAGAGCATTTTGTATGAGAAAAGAGACATTTATTTATACTTTACAAAATTTCTTATGGCTTCAAGGAAAAAGAACAATGTAAACAAACAGAAAACAGAATCATGGTAAGTCACAAACTTTAAAGATTAAATCTCTATGTTCATGCAGCTATTTTCTCATTGTGTCACCAGAACTAAACTGCTTTTTCAGATGCAACAGAGAATGTATAAACATTCTAAATACAGTTTTTAAAATCAGCTCTCCTCGGAGCATACTCCAGAGAAACTGCAAGTTGTAGACAAGTTAAACCTACAAAATTTGGTCTAGAAGAACCCATTATGGCAAACTTACAAAGTTTAAGGAAATTACTTCTCTGAGGACTAAACTTTGCTTTCTACTTTATGATATGCTATTAACCAGGAAACAAGAATGCATCCTCAAAGTAGGGATTAATGAAGGAATAGAGTTATATTTACTCCTGCTATAACATCAATGAATTTAAGAAATAGCCCATACACCAATTTGGCCTGTTTAACTTGTTGTATCAGAGTAAAAATTATATAGGGTTAGATTCAGGATCTACTTTCCATTGATGAAAGGCTCAGCTCATAGGAGATAAGTCTGCCCAGTTTTTATGGATTCCCACCTGCATCACACTTCACCCCATTCAGCAGAGTCCCCTGGTCCTGTAGAGGTGGGGGTGCTGCCCTGGAGAGGAAGGGGGGGGGCAAGTCTGCTGCTGCATCCCAGCTGCACATGCCTCAATCAAGATCAAATCCTGGTGCAACATCTGGGTCAACTCTCCAATGCATGCAGAAGTCCAAAATGTAATACAAAATTTGTCATGCGTATTTCATGAGTAAGAAGTAGTAAGAAGGGCTAAGTAATTGTGATCCTCTGCGTCAATCGATAACATTTGAAAAAGTTCCAAACTGTGTTGCTTGAAGGAGATCAGTGTACGACAAAGAGCAAGGATGCGACAAGGATTACCTGATGCAGCTGCTGAGTTCTTGTTCCCAGTGCTTCAAAATCTGACCAGTCCGGCTTGTGTATCTTCACTCTGTCAGGTTAGAAGTGATCAGACTGAAAGCTGAAAATCCCCTGTGCATGATAAGGATCCACCTCTGCAGTCACCTTTTGTCCTGCGTAAGTGTGGGAGCTCTCCTGGTGGAAATGCTCACAGTGGAAATCAATCCAGTCTTTCTCAGCGCTGTATCTCTCAGCTTCAGCAAGAATCCTTGTCAAGGCCATGATGTAACTCAGGGCCATCTGAAGGGTCTCATATTTGGAGAGCTTTTTGTCTTGTCCCCACTGGGGAACCACTTTGCGGAGGCGGTCAAAGGCAGTGTTCAGCCCCTGCATTCTTCTCCTCTCCCGGGCATTCGCGGCCAGCCTGCGCTTGGCAGCACTCTCCAGGCGTTCGGAGCTGCACTTCGCTTCACAGACTGCTCCGTTTCTGCACTGGAGGTCTGCTTCTGAGCCGGAATCCATGCTATTGTTGAATTTGCAGGGTTTCATAGGAGATGCAAAGAAAGAAAGACAAATGCACCCAAGAAATGTGCTGGCAGATAGAAAATCTTTGGCAGTATTTAAAATGAGAACGATAAACAAACACACCAGAGGAAAGTGAGGAAACAGCTTCACTCAGAGTTCATGAACTAGGCTTTGGAAAAAGAGCATCTTCCTAAAATCGCAAAACAGCTGGAAAGTATAAAGTGGTCCTCTGCTCTCAGATTGAAGAATGAAATCTGAAATGCACCTCACAATTCATCAGAACTTTCAAAAGGTCAGATTGTAAATGGACCACACAGACAAAATGCTTTTTAAACAGAAAGTCTCTATAATCCAAAAGAGCTTCAGCAGCTAGCAAACATAACTTTAAAAATATCTTCCAATGGACTGTTAATTGATGCCAGTTGTCCTCCCTTCAGGACAATCTCTTGTTTGCAGTGCTGTTGTCTTAACCTGAAGCTAAGATGCAGAAAAACTGCTGCTCTTTCCTCAGCTACTAGCACTGGTCAGTGAGCATAAGTTACTGGCAAGGGAAGTCTTTATAGTAGCAACAGCAAAAGCTGAACAGGTGGCAGCAGGTGGGTGGGCAGCCCTGCGATTCCATCCCAGCACCTTCCCACCCTGGGAACTGCACGCACGCACGCTCAGCCCCCTTCCCACAAAATCCTGACATTGCAGGCTTCATCTGTCGAAAAGTCTCCCAAAGCCATATCTGTCCAGCACTAACAACTTGCCATCTGGACTAGTGTCTGCTGGGCCCCACAAGAATCACACCAGCTAAGCAAAAGGTCTGATCGGTGAATAACCTTCTGCAGCTCAGCAGAAACCTTTCCTGACACATCATGGCATTGCGTTTGTTGGCCTGAAAGTGCTTGGCTGGGAGAAGGAGCTCTTAATAAGGAGAGCTAAACCCAAGAGAGAGAGGATGTGCTTGATGCCGTATAGGAACGCACAGACCTAACTGCAAAAAAAGAAGCACTTGTTGTGTAACACAGGATTTTCACAATCGCCATACAATATAACATGAGATGTATAATATTTCATGCTCTGCAAAAGAATCTCAATAACTTGAGTTTTTGTTAGTAATGTTTCGCTTAGATATATTACATGGCTTTGGGAATCTGACCTATGGAAACACACATGGATGCAGAGTGTTAACCCTCAGCAAAAATCTTCTTCACAAAAATAAAAAAGAAATAGATTCACATCAAGCATAGTATTGACTAAGTGTCTTTGTAGATACACTTAAAACATCATAAAGATGTTCATTAAAACAAATGATAATGGAAAAATATTGAAAAAGCAATTTCCTAGCCATTATGTGTTAATGTTCTATGATGGCTATTATAGTTCAAGGGATCAAAAGAAAATCTAGTTTTCATCCTCTCCCAAGTTTTTCTCCCATTTTAAATATTTATCTTCCTCCTGAAAACATGCTGTGTGATAAAAAGCAAAACAACGATGTTTTATTGAATTTCAGGGCCAATTAAAGTGTTACCACATACTTATGGGGAGTCATCTTTTCATTCACATCTTGTAACACAGTATTTTGATCTAAAACTGTGGACCAATTGTTTCTGTTGTGACTCCCAAACATCATCTGGTTGCAAACAGTTGATTAATCCTTCACAGGGGCAGTGAAAATGAATGAGGCTGCATAATCTGAAAACAAAAGGATGCAATTTAACATTAGTGGACTCCAGCATGACAGATGTTGAACCCAGCCTGTTAGGCACAGTCACTCTGCTCTTAATAGTCTGCACCCTAAATGGTCTGTTAAAGAGTGTGGGGGTGGTATACAGTCTATGCACATTTCGCATTTTTAAAGGACTGTATTATTTTCTGGTTGCCCTACTTGTTCATTTCACTGTGCGCTGACTTTTTCCTTTGTCTCCCTCATTAGCCTTTAGTGTGTTTCAACATGACTTTCCTAACAACCGAGAGAGATTCTATTTGCTCATGCTGGTTATGTAGAAAAGTGGAAGGTTCACGGCTGACATAAAATTGTAAAATATTTCAGAGCATCAGAACTGAAATTTAAATGCCAGTGAATGTTTTTGCACTCTGTGACAGTCTGACTAAACCTTGTGAACATGCACACTGTTTTTATAAAAAGAATATATGTATCTAACAAGCATGAAGGGAAGGATTGGAGCTCCGGGGCAGAGCCACTTTGCCAGCAAAGTCACAAGTTCGGTTCTTGACATTTTCATGTAAGGCCGGGAGATAATCCTGCTCTAAGCCTTGAAGCCAGTCAGCAAAGACAGTAATGAGGTAGACCAAGGCCCTGACTCAGTATAAACAGCTTGTTATGCCCTTAAGTTGGCACACGGAGCTATTCCATAACTGCAATTTGCACCTGGAGCTTAAAAGCTGCCCCTTTGGATGGTACCATGTTATTATGGCTAATCAAACAGCAACTGAATCTTAGGCTTTGCTTTGTTCAGATCTGCCTTCGAAATGGTTTCAGCAAAGCTTCGCCCCTGCTGTGTTGATATACCAAATCAGAATTCACTTTTTGCAAAGTTTTGCTGCAAGGCATTAGTGTAGTTGTTGTGATGGGGATTATTGATAAAAAGTTATTATATATAGGGCTATCATGGCACTTTAAAAATGAGAGAGGAGGAGAAGGAGGAATTTCCTTCCCCAAGGAGCTTATTGAGAAAATTTCAGCAGTGGAAGAAACAACAAAGGCTGGTGCATGGGGGAAAGGGGAAAAGATAACAGGCAATAGAAGGAAGCAGTTGCCTTTCAAGAACTTAGGTGTATTTTCAGCTGGGAATTAGATCAAATCATTTTAATGCTTAGAAGTATTGTGGGAAAGGCAGGGATTCAGTGTGCCGCTCAGCCTTATGCCATTCAGCACTAATGAAATATAGGGGTTTGTGAAATGCATATAAATCTAGGCCAGTGGCATGCAACCTTTTCAGTTAAGGGGATTTTTGCAATTTGAGAAACTGTCCAGTGCACCGCCACAGAACGGGTGCCAGAGAAGGTGTGGCAAAGGACATACTGAGTGACTTGTGTGGTTTAATTGTCTGTCGCTGACACTGTTTCATTTGTTTTACAGGGTGGTTGTATTTTCGTATGACAGGGACGATTTTTAGCTAATCTAATTTTTGAAAAAATACCATTTTTCTAAATTACTTTGACACTTTTTCTTTTGAGAAAGCTACTAAGAAATCCTCAACCTGCTCTTGCCAGGTGGTGACGATGTCTCTAACATCCTGCCACATGATGATGAGAATGTGACCCTCCTCACTTCTGGAGGTCAATCTGAAGGGGGAAAAAACCTTGGGGAAAACTTGTGGAGTTTATGTGTGAAAGGACTTGTGAGTTTGGTTCTGGTGCAGTCCACACATTCCTGGGCTGAGGATCTGCTATTTAGAGGCACTCTGTTCCTTAATTCTTAGAGACTGGCCCCAGAACGAAGAAGGTTCTCGTGGAAAACAAAGTAGACCCTGCAAGCCTGGAAGGAGCCAGCCAGCCAGCCAGCCAGCCAGCCAGCCACCTATGGCCTCGAGGTAGCATGGTAAGCGACAGCAACGTCGATGGCTTGGCCTGTCAACCTATCGACTGGCGGTGATGCATTCCCGCAACAGTATTGTAATGGTAGATGACACATAGGCCTATTATTTTTTAATTCAGAGTCATTTTCTGGTGCAGATGGGCATAAAATTACAGCCTATGACCCAGAGTTTCTTATTGATTTCCAGTTGGCACAGTATGCCAGATGCTATTTCGTCTAAGTGCTGCTTTAACCTCACTCTTGACGCTGGCTGGCTTTTTGTTTACTTGCATCATGTCTCCTCAGCAGGAGAAGGAGGCCCCACCTTTTGCTCAGGGCTTCTGGGTTGCCCATATGCTCCACTGGAGTGACTGGCCTCACTGGAATTAACTCCAAAGTGGCGTCCAGCCTTGTGACTGGGGCCAGCCCAGAAGAGATTATGAATGCCCCTGTCTAATTAAATATTTTGCCCCCTGCTGATAAAGAAAATAAAGTAAAGGCAACTCCTCCATACAACCACATTATAAAATGACCAATTTCCCTGGGATCTTTAAGTAGTTAGACAAAGGCAGCCTTGGGGTCAGTAATGCATGCTTTAAAAGTCTCTAATGGGCCGAAGCAGTTACATAAGTGAGACTCAGCGATGATGATGATGGTGATAAAGATGATGATGTTTTTGAGTTGCATGTTCACAATCAACATTCAGAGCAATTCACAAGGGCGTGATGTGAGGGACTGGGGTTCAAGCAACCTTCCTACATCTTGCTGTTGTTGCATCTTTCTGACTTTTGAGCATGAGAATGTCCAGAAACAGTTTGACAGGTTTGCTGAAGGTGTACAATCAATCAAACATTTGCAGTTTATTCAGACATACAGGAAATATAGGCAGCATGAAGGAAACCCCAAAGGGGCGACGAAGACGGAGTCTGCACACGATGCTTTTATAACCTATCATTTACGTGCACCATCTGGAGAAGGGTTGGGGATCTGAAAGACGAACAAAAAAGGTTGAAACCACACAAAAAGTTGTTTCAGGACAGGTATACATTAGCATACATAAACTGTACCTGGGGAACAAGACTTGCAACATGGTTTCGCGATCAGATCAGCATCCCACCGTAAGCTGTTTGTAGTTTCAGGCTTTCAGCAGCCCTATGACAGCAGAGCTTGTGCACATTTTGTCCTGACAAGAGTATCAACAGCAGCAGCTAATCTAAGGCTGCTGTCTCTGCTGAATGAGAAGCGAGTGTAGCAGCTGGTAATGCAGCACCGAAAGTCTGAGGGACAGCCGTCTGTTTGGCATCATTTTCAGCATTTTTGCTTTGCACTTAAAAACAACAGGACCAATTTTTTATTATTATTATTATTATTATTATTATTATTATTATTATTATTATTATAACATTTCTATGCCGCCCCTTGCCGAAGCCTTGGGGCGGCTTACAACACAATAAGATACATTGAAATACAATAGAACGTAATAAATTGCCAATAAATA